AGGAATTTTTTTATACGAACGAAGTCAGTGACAAGAAGCTGTGTTAATGGCTTAGCTTTTCAAAATACTCGATGCCGACAACAATTAAATTGTGAGGAAACCGGCATATTTTCGAAATAATAAAATAAAAAATATATAATATAATAAAATAATATATATGTATTATATATACAGTGGACGCCTGTCCAGCAGGCGATTTAGGCTCATAGGCTGTTACTTTACTTTTTTTATACGTACTTTAGTAATTATTATTCGGCTAGTTACCATTAATTATAAAAATGACTTCTAACAGTTAAAGTGTATGTCATGTTCAATTTTCTACAAATATTACAGAAAACATATAACAATTAATCGTTTTAAAATTAAAAAAACCATTTAAATTTTCGTGATGCAATGAAATATAAAAAAAAATATTCATAAAAATAATTGAAAGAATTATAGGACTTAGAATGAGTTTCATTAATGAGTATCTATAATGTATATAATGTATAATTATAATAATGTATATAATATCTTAGGATAAACATATAAGCGAAGAAATCAAGAGCAACTCGATTCTTCGCATTCAAAAACTAATTATACCCAATCCGCATTAGGGTACGCGTGGTGATGCGAAAAGACGGCTTACGGGTATATACGTAACTCCGAACAGTCACTTGATAGCGCGTTTTTAAAAAGTACAGCGCCATCTAGGAACGCTTGAGTGAAACGGCCCGCGAAAGAGCACCGCTCGAATAACACGCTCACGTGGAGTTCGAAAAATGAACAATCGCTAACGGTAATTTTTTTGACATAGATACATTTAAAATTAAATAAATAATACCTACATAAATCTGAAATCTTATCTTGTTATTATGAGCATGAGATTTAATACTCATTTTTTGAATTTATGGTATTATAAAGTTGACTTCTTCTAGTATTCTATTGTTGCGCGATTGCAAAATTTCACGATATCATATAATAGAATAAGAATAAATAATATACATTTATTATTATTATTTTTATTGTCATTTTACACTTTAATTTGCATGAATATAAAATCAAAATATCTACTACGTAGATTACATAGTATACGTATTTATTCTTCCCGTTTTATGGGAGAAAATGTGTAGGAATCTTCAAGGAGTAAGTATTAAAATAAGTTGCTGTTGGCACCGTGTTATGGGCTATATAGCAGTCGTCAAAACAATAGAATTAAACCTGTCTCATAATTGAAACGCTTCGCACTCGCTATTTGTGTCACCGTTGTTAGTACTGCCAACACGACTCATCCGATTATAGAGGTGAATATTTTTTTTTGTCTAAAAACAGTAATAAATAATTGCTCTAACTCTCGTCATAAAATAACAGCTATTATTAAATAAAAGCACATAATCGCTCCAGGACCTCATGATGCTCTGCAATCCTTCTGATCAATAAATTATGGAAACTATGGACAAATTGACGGTAGTTAGGATAAACGACTATATTAGGACATTAAACACCGCAGTTCGTTGTGTGCGAAATATAAATGTTTTAACTAAAATTTAAAATTTAGATTTTTACGGACAAATATATCAACCAAAAATATACACACACTTTATTAAACTTCTACTTGTTTTGATCCCCAACCATTGGAAACATATGTCTAAATTTTTATTTACATTTAATCGACTAATATAAAAAAATCATTTCTGTTACCGAGAAAAAAAAATATCTGCATCGTTAGTAGAAAGACTAGGAAGATTATGCGCTTAAAATATATCCTAACGTCTGGCATGTGACTTTAAATGTCATTTGCTTCTGATGTTTAACAAAAACTTGTTTGGAATGAACTTTTCATCGCAACTTATAACGAAGGAGAGTGTTACAAGAAGATAAAAAAGTTATGATACACCGCCAAGGGATCAAACTCGTGACGGACCGCCCAATACTTCCTAAACCGTGGCGCGCCTATGTGCGATACTCCGGATTTCTTCATGAACTTACCTTCCGTACTACAAATAATTAGTTATATGATTAATTATGCGTACGGCAAAGGAATGGAACAGTCCACCGGCGTCGACACTAGGTACATCCGCGTACCAGGGCGGTTCTCGGCCCTAACCTAAGCCACCGACTAACCAAGCACAGTCAACGGCCATCGGGATCACGGTCCGCACCGAACCTCGATGGCCCGTAGGCGACATGCCATAATTAACGCACGCATGAGTACATGCGTGGCCCTACCCACTGAGGAGGGCCTCAAACCCGTGGGTTCTGGCTAGCCCACCGGTTCTACGTTCGATGGAGCTCTAATAGTCTAAGGACTGCTGAAAGCGTGACATCAGTTATACAAAAACAAAAAAACGCCGGCGTCTATATCTCCGTCTTTCTCGTCTACGGCCGCAGCGCTACTTACCGTATGGCGGGATGGCAGTAAAAAAATAGGATACGAGCGCATGGCCCAGTTTCTAATACGTCGCTTGCCAAAAGCCGGCGCTGGAATGGATCTAGCCAACGCCGTTTGATTGACTACGGAACGGACGGCGTCGACGTCCCGTATGCGAGCCCAGGGCGTAGTGATAAATATTCTATGACAGTTGAAAACAAGCAAGATACAAGCGTGACTCCCGCGTGATGGAAACTCCTTTAAATCGTTTTCTAATTAATGAATTATAAACATAATAATAATGTATTTTATTTCTCCTCACAGTACAGTATACAATACAATATAATGGTTGGTACAGCTAACGTAAACAATTTAGTTAATAGATTGTGCGGAGCTAGTGACTATTAAAGGCGTAAAACCTTTATTACAGATCACCAGGTCCTCAATTATTAATTCTATGAAGTGAATTCGATATCCAAATATCGTCGTATATTGTTTCCGTAATAGTTTTGTGTTTACAAGCTACGGCGGCGCCGGGGTTCGTGGGTTCGAATCCCAAAGGGACGAATGTTTTGCAACGTAAAACATCTAGCCAATACCATTAACAACGCCAAATTATTTATTCATTCTTATTTTTATTTATCCACAATTTTTGTGAAAATTAATGAACCAATAAAACAAATCAAAAAATAATTGTTAAGTTTAGATTCTTCGCTAAGGACAAAATACCTTCAAATGTCAAATAAAGTTAATGCTTTCTTTGAGGCGCCATCTATTGAACATCTTTTAGCTCAGTTATTGTGTTAATAATATTGGAAAAGGCTAAATGATGATCACATTGGAAAATATGGAAAAAACAAAATCACGTCGATGGTAAACACCAGTTCACGCCGTTCAAGTAGTGATAATGATATGATAAATCATTATAACTACTTGAAATGTGCTTTACGATGTTATTATATATATTTAAAACATCTAAACTGCTTTTTAAACAATCTCACTTTAGTTAATACATAACTCAGACTCGGGTCAGCTACTTAAGAGCATAAAAAAATATGTCCCACGTTTGTAAGGAAACCAAAATACTTTAAATGGCCCGCCTGAATTACAGCGCCATTCGTGCTGTGAAATAATATTTTAGACCAAGGATGAGCAACGCGCGGCCCGCGGGCCCCTTAAACATGTTTATGCAGCCCGCCAACCATTTCTAAAATTGAATTTATTTTATCGAATTTCTCCCATCAATATATTGTTATAAAATTAATTATAATAAAATGGTAGTATATACTGAACCGAAATATTTTTTGTTCGTCTTTCTGTTCTTTTCTTGTTTGTTTTTACCTTGCATTAAAATTTGTATATGAAATCTTTACTTTTTTTAATTATATCGTTTTTTATTCTAATATTTATTATAAATAAAGTTTCGTAAATTATTATGTGCGGCCCGCCAAAAAATTTTAAATTTAAATTGGCCCATTGATTAAAAAGGTTGCTCACCCCTGTTTTAGACCGAAGTTATTTAAAACTATTAACACAAAACAATAGCGCAACTGTCGTTGTTCGTTTAATATACTTTCGAATACATCGAAATACAGAAGCTCGAAGAGATTCTTTGCCCGTACTTCGGAAAGAACATGAACTGGAAAACATGCCGCGATAAAAGACTCGGCACAATGTAGAAAAAGAGTATGAACGCGTTGATAGATAGATACGTCCAGAATGAATAAAACAATACTCGGTACAGTCGATTGCAAACGCGCCTAAAAGGGTTATTAAAAATTATGCAATCAAAATTTAATATCATAGCAACATTTTTATATTACGAACCATCCCAAATATCCCAGCGAGGATGCTGTCAATTGTAGCAATCGTAAAGTAAAAGGTTTAACCCGTTTGATAAAACAAAACCGGCCAAGTGCGAGTCGGACTCGCGCACGAAGGGTTCCGTACCATTATATATAAGAACGGCAAAAAATGTCATGTCCGTTGTATGGGAGCCCCACTTTAACATTTTTTATTGTGTTTTTCAGTATTTGTTGTTATACCGGCAACAGAAATACATTATCTTTAAAAATTTTAACGGTGTAACTATAACAATGAGATACAGCTTGGTGACAGACGGACAGACAGACAGCGGAGTCTTAGTAATAGTGTCCCGTTTTACCCTTTGGGTACGGAACCCTAAAAATGAATCAAACCGATCTCGAAGTAGGTAAAAAGTGAATTGAAAGATTCAATTCCACTCATTCTTCTATTTGATCGTATATACAGACTTAAAGCGTGTTAAAAATAAATGACTATCGTTTTAATGTTTTCAAATCAAAGTCATGTCACGTCAATCCTTTCGGGCTTTCAATTCAAACAATTCAAATTTATAGTCGTTCGATTATAGACTCACCAGATTTTTTCATTTGAAAAGCTAGCGGAAAATCAAGTTCCAATGGATAAATTACAGAATATGTACAAAAAACTGAATACAAGAATATTTGTACATATAATATACCTACATTTAAATATGAAAATATATGTATATTTATAAGTAGTTTATGTTATATTTTCTTACATGTAAAAGCATTTATGTTATTATATATTTGGTTTATTTTGTCTAATTTGAATTTTAGATCGTTTTATTATTGCACCTTTCTTTTTAACGATGGGAACCTGCCGGTTCTGCGTCAGATGGAGCTTTAATAGTCTCGGGACTGAAAGCAAAAACATCAGTTAATACAAGAGTACAAGACGATGGGAAATGCATCATGCATACTCTCTTGCGGGGGAAGCAAGGAGAGTTATGTTGGACTCCCGCCCTGTGAAGGGCAGACCTACTAACTAAAACCCATCGGGTGTCCTCCTCTGCCGTCAAATGCTGGATTGCAGGGCCCGCTAAAACGATTCTGCTGCAACCCAGCCACGGCTACCCCGACCCTGCACAGGGCCGGGGCACATCACGAAGGGACTTTTGTCCCCGTCCCCCGCATGAGTGCCCATGACATCAGTGAGCACTTTGCCTTCGCGGGGCCTCATACCGTTAGGTGACAGACGTCCCCACGTCTGCGACGTCGCCATCTTGCGATTCGTTCGGTGGAAAGGTTATCGCCGCACCCCTTCGCCTAAGCATTGCATTCTTTATTATATTATACCAAACCATAGGTTGACTGACAGAGAATGCCGAAATTCATTGAGTCCTCTATTGTAATCGCAATTCAAAAGAATTTAATAAATACTAAGTAAATAATTTAAAAAAAAAACATAATTATGACGAAAATGCAAACAATATTGCAAGTGCAAGCAGTGAGAATCTTACGCACGACCTCATATTACGGAATACTGTTACCCCAGCTGCTAGGCCAATAACGCCTTCAGATAAGTTACTACAAAACTGATGGTTACATTAATTAAGGTAATAATAATTGAGCTTACCGAACGCGATTGTACTCGACTGCGGGCTAAGCTAATCTTCGCCGTGAGCATCTTTTCAGTGCCACCGAGTGTTTTTTGCGATCGGCGATTGCGTTTTCATCGCGACTGTACTACGCTAATACCGAATTCAGAAACCTCGTTACCAGAGATGTGAATTAATAAGTGAGTTTGCTTTTGCGTGCTGTTCAGTTTCTTCTTTTCTTTTTTTTTCCAAAGTAACGGGTTATAACTATAAGTTATATGGCATAAGAAGTGCATATAATTGATCCTAAATGAGAGTCGTTTGTCCAGTTTTTTATTCTTGTCTGTATTTTAATGCAGATTGTAATAGGGTTGCGGCGTCGGCTTTATTGCCACGCGATCGCATCGTTGTATACGCGTGTCGCGTGTCGCGTTGTATACACGCGTCCCGCTGTCTGTCTGTCTCTAAGTACGCTTAGATCTTTAAAACTACGCAACGGATCTTGATGCGATTTTCTTTACTAGATTGCACCCTTGCGAAGCCGAGGCGGGTCGCCAGTTTAAAATTAAAATAAAAACATATAAAGATCCGAATGGATAACCTTCTTTTTGAAGCCGATTAAAAGACGATCGATGCATTGCGAATTGTGAAAGACGACGATCAAAGAATTTCAAATGTGGAACAATGTCGATCGAAATATTTCAAATTAAGAACCGAGCGTCGGTCGTCCAGCCAATCCATTAACGAACGGTGCGTTCGACATTCGAAGTAAACATCACTCCGTCCACGGGGCTATATATGAGGCGGCTTAGAAAAATAATCCGCGTCGATTCGTGCGCGGGTATAAAATAAACTCTCCGCGAGGTATTTTATCGGCTCTAGGTGTAGTTAATAATTTGAAAATATCCCAACGGCGTTTGCCGAACGCCATATCGATTGATGTGAATTGAACGTTTTCGAAGTTTATGCTGATTCTGTTTGTTGTAGGCGCGAGATTAAAATTTTATGCGTATACGTCAGTGTTTTACGGCCGGCGTTTTAGTAGCTTTGCGTACGTTATCGGATCTGCTTTTACAATCAATGTTTCATATTTTTTTTAATGTCCTATCTTTTATTGGATACTTGGATAAATAATCTGTACTATCATAAAGTGTTATCGTAAACAGCAAGCAAAAACGTGAACTGGTTTTTGGCAACGCATTTTTTCGTTTTTATTTATAAACCTGGTTAGTTAATTATTTTATGCTTGTTATATTAATGGTAATTTAAAACTAATTACTTGCTTACTAATTATCAGAAACATGCACATTTTGATAAAAACCTGACGTAAATGTCTAGAATATTTTCATTTACCTAATGTCTTAAAGTTGTTATTTTTGTCGTTTCATTGTAACCTTTTTATATGCGACACCAATTAAGATTACATTCTTACAAGCTAAGAACGGTACGTATTTCAAAAACCAGTTGAAAGTTTAATTATCGATAAGCATAATACTATGTATTATGCATATATATGATATTGCATGCTATGATTTATAAAATAAACACGTGAACTTGCAGAGGTTCTGTAATCTGTTTAGACTTTACGAAAATTCAACAATCTATTCAAATGAGACAGAAATGTGTTTGAGAAAATTTATTTAACCTTACCAATAGCTTATTTAAATATCAAAGGAAACGAAACGACAGTTCCGTCCTGAAGTTGGCACGTAAAAAAAATATTTTAGCTAAAAGGTAGGGAGGGAGTGATAGACTCTAGGTAGAGCAAAATGAGTGAATTCTATTAGCCTTATGGTCACCCTATTCAATACTTATTCAATAGCGTTCAATCCTCCAATACTAATGTCGTAAAAAATAATTACGTAGGTACCGTAAAGTTTTATGAGCATCGTGAAGGGTAACGTCACGTGTGAGCGACAACCGCTCCGCCAAACATTCGAAATTTAAAATTAAAACGAGTAACACAAGAGATTAAAAACTGGCTGTGCAGAAAAAAAATTGATAAAAAAAAATAATACAAAACAAAAGGCGAGCGCGGAGAAAAGAATGTCTCCACGAAAATAAAATACGGAAAGCGCGCACCGGCCGCGACGCCAACTATCTGTCGTGGCGTAGCGTGATCCGTACACAGAAATAGACGGTTTCCAGTTCGATTTGGGGCGGACAGTGATCGAAACGCCCGGAGCGTCGCGCGCGAGGATTTTCCTATCCGCCGCGGCGGGACGAACGCGCGGCCAGTGGGCGGCCTCCCATCCGGCGAAAACGTTAGCTTGTACTGCCCGATATATTCTCACGCGGGATAGCATGCGTGCTATTTTGTTTATTAGTGTTTCCTCTTCTGAAAATAATTGTCAGTACGAGTTTTTGAGTAAATATTAAACTAGACTTGAATACAGTTTAATCGGTTTTATAGTTCAATCAAGACTGACCACCAATACAATTTTATGTTGTTAGCAAAACGGTTGGTTGTCACAATGTTGTTCATTACATTATATTAGCATCATGATGGCTAGGCGAACGACGAAGAAAGAAAGAAGGGAGTTTGAATACATTAATTAAAGGCTCTCACCAATTTGAGTGACTACGAACAGTGTCAAAGAGATGGATTTATCATTGAACCTCTATGCATATTTCGAATTATATTAGTACAGACATTTTGTGATGAAAGTGCAGTATATACATACGTAAGTTTGTATTTCCACTCTGTTGTTCGAAATTATATTTATGTCACAACAATAGCATGTAGCAATCATATTGAATATAGAGATTTGATTGGAAATCACATTAATTTTGAAATGCGTCGAGATGAAGCTTGATATGATATTCTACCTCTATTCCACATTGTACTTAAAAGGATGTGTAAAAATAACGCTGTATGTAAACGGTGGCGGGCATCAAGATAGATGGCGTCAATTTCCTATGTTTAAACCCGCTGCTAAAGACCATAAGATTACAAATTACGGTGTACGTGACGTTATGAATTGTCTTTTTTCATTAGCTTAAATGTGATATACACAATATTTATGTTGAACAACAGATTTGACGGTGGCAGTGCCACGCAGCAGCCTCGGCTGTTGCACGAATGGGCAGGCTCGTCCGGGTAAGTACCACGACCTCACAGAAGACCGACTGAAAGTGGAAGTATAATACCTTCGCGTTTCGTCTGGTGAGTGAGGTAGCCGGAGCCCAATTTTCAAAAGGTTGTCAACGCATCTGTAACCCTCGGGTGTAGCAGATGTTTATGGGCGGCGGTACTCACTTAACATCAGGTGAACCGCCTGCTCGCTAGGCAAATTTTCACATAAAAAAAATGAGATATGTACTTTATTTTCAGCCTTTGAATGATTAATCTAATACTTTTAACTAGGTTTTTACGTTTAAATATGAATATATATATGCACTCACATTAATTAAAACCAGTCAGTATCACTCTTAATAATATCTATGTTTTGGTGCAAAATGTGGAGAGATTGATTAAAAAGGTATATCCCGATATAAGTAAAATATCCATTAAGACACTAAATTAGTTTTATTAACTCGAACACAGTCGTGGACAGAGGAAACAATACATTCTCCAACTGAATTTTTGAATTGTTTGACGCCTCTAGGAAACGCCGCGCAAATTGATATCAGAAATAGCTTATTTTATTATAGCAAGTAATTTTGTTGCTTTACCAAGTAATTTTAATCAAAATGGGCATACATAAAAACCTTTCCATCGAACACAAATATCACAATAGGGTTTGTAAGTCTATTATTGAAATGTTCTTAGAAATTGTTATGATAATTCAAATTCGCTAAACCCATATAGGGTCATAGTAGTCACGAGAGATATTTTAGGCACCCACGAAGTCTACACCAAGCGATTCCCGGAATCACGTCGAAAATTGATTACCGTTCTGCAAATAAATTCGCGACCGGCTACTGTCGTATCCATCCATGAACCGGTCGCCGAAACGAGTCCCGGGTTCGACTCCAAAGTTGTCGAATAAATGGATACTCGTTTCGGGCAATACACAAGCGCTGACGTCACCCCATAATTTTCGGGTTTATTCTTCAGGTAGACAACCATATCGTCACTGGGAAGGCGTTTGGCGTTTAAGTAATTTTGCCGTTCCATTGACGACATGTAGCAAGTCCTGATACACAACAAGAACTCTACATAGTATAAAAAAATCGTCCCGCTGTCTGTCTGACCCTATGTATGCTTAGATCTTTAAAACAACGCAACGGATCTTGATGCGGTTTTTTTTACTAGAGTGAAAGAGTTTAGATAGAGTGATTCAAGAGCAAGGTTAATATGTATTATCCATTGGACCTGGGCAAAGCCGGGGCGGGTCGCTAGTAATTAATAATAGTATGCGTGTATATGTGCCTTCTAATTTGGAACTCAAAATAAGCTCTCATAACAAATGTGTCTTCAATCGATCTAACCATTTTCCCTCTTGTAGCTCAATTGGGAAAACTGCAGAGTCCTTAATATTGTTATTGCGCGATAATGGCATTCAACTGATATAACGACACACTAGCGTGTGACATAATTCGAACAGTTGGTGAGTAATTAAAAGTGCGTAAGTAAAACAAATTTTACACAACTCAACGTAGTTACGCCCATTTTTAAACAGGACAGCTGTTCAGGTTTAAGATGTTTCCCTTACTCCGTAATCTCTCTGTGATTAAGCAAAGGTGATAAGAGAATAGATAGACCGCGGGCCGTGAGTATTTGTATGATCTAAGGATTATTGTTCTAGATCTGGCTGTGTCCCTAGGTTTGTTTTTTATTTGTACAACACCTTTACACCACAGCATATTTTTTATACTTAATATGATGGAACAAAATACTGTAATGGACGATTTATAAATTGTCGAAAGTAACTCACTCATAATTAGCGATATAAATTTGTGCTATTTATGATTGCTGATAAGCCATACAACAACTTATTTATAACAATTGGCGGAGAAAATTTAAAAAGGCATTTATCCTATAACAAATTGCAAGTTAATGAAACAACTCAATGCCTTGTCACACTAATTTTAACATTCCCGCCATAATAGTTCTGATTACAGTCGCTTACTGTACAATTATCGCAACCGGTTGAAAAAAAAAAGGATTCGAGTTCCATTTTTGAAAACCTGTTCTGCGCCGGGTTGTGGATTACAATAACTGCTATTACAAATTTAATAAATGTAATAAATGCTCTTTTTATTTAATTTTAAAAAGCTTTCTGCATTGCCATTATTAACATTTAATCAACGTTAATCAATACAATAAATATCATATGGTACCGATAAATCATGATAATATAAAATTTTTAACTTCTGCTTATTATTTATTATAACTTGCAGTAGGATAATATATTAATATGTTGACTCTATCAACTCGGTATGTAACCATAAACAATGTAAAGTAAGATCCTATTTTCCTTATTTTGTTCAAGTTGTTAAGATAAAATTACCGCATTTATATTATCATTATATTAGTACTTTTTATGTAGGGTTTTCTATGTAGGTAATTTAAACTTTAATCGGAATATTCTTAACGGCTACAAAATGTTGCGTGAAGAAGAAAAGATGAAAAGCAAAAGATACACGCTATCCAATATTGTTTTAGGCACTTGTTATTTATTATGTATGGGTAGATAGAGATACAATTAATTAATATTACAAGCAGAAAAATTTGTTATACAATGTTGTCCTGGCTCATAATAATTACTAATGGTTATAAGATAAGATAATTTATATTATAATAATAAAATAGAAGAAATAAAATTTTATAAATACTATAGTACACTTTTCATGATCAAATAATACACGCATGTTTATAAATATTATTAATCATGGACAAAGTTTCAGTTACATCCTCAATTGTGACATTTTACTACTAGTTCGTCGTATACCAGTTGCATTATAAAAAGATGATATAAAAGTAAGCTAATAAAACAACATGGAACACTGATTACTTACTTGTAAACAAACGAAGTTATTAAACAGAATCACGTAAGCACAGCAAATGATTTCCGAACGTACATAAGACAACTCGGTTTAATGGAATAGCAAAAAAAAAAAAAACACTAAAAGTCCGCCGTTTGCACAGTTGAATAAAAGCACACTGTTAAGTAAACACAACCAGGATGTATAACGAAAAATATTCGTGCGAAGATCTTACGATGTGCCTAATGCAAACGCAACCGGTCGGTGTGTACGTAAATTTTCGCGGGAAACGCGGCTCTACCGGACACAACCCGCCCACGCCGGTGTCAGAGGACAACTGACTGAACGGATAGATTCACCTGCAATGCGTGCGCTGGTCGCTCCGCTGAGAGAGGGACGGCGCGATGGATTCCGCTGGCGCGCGAGCGGGACGCACACAGCGCACGTGCTTGGTTCCCCCCAGAACGAGGGTTAGCCGTTTTCAGGAAAGGGCGCGTTATTACAAAGCTGCGAATAGATAGTTGCGTATATATTTTGCATTATACAGTTTCGGAAAATAGAGCGAGTATACGGCTTTTGTTGGCGAGGAAATTCGACGCGAACTCTATCTAACCGTTAATGACCGCCCTCTTGAATGGCTATTAATTCGCTGTTTACGACGGCGACAGTTGTCCGCCGATCCTGTTTAGAGCGTACCATTGTTTCGCGTAATCCAAACAGAAGGTCGTACGAAAATATCCCAGTGCATAACACCGTGAATATAAATCACACGAGTAGTGGCTCGTTATCATACGAGTCGCCGCCGCAATCGGACCGCTTAAAAAGCTCGAATGCGAATGCTTTGAATTTATATCTGTTCATTGTCACTTTTTGTCGCTCTTGTCACCCGTGCCGTTTAAATGTTGTTTTATTTATCTCTATATATATATGCAAATAAATAAAATTGAGGTGTCTGCTTGTTATGTCAAAACAACAACGTTTTACTAAATGCTTATGAATGACACGGTAAAGTAACAGCCTATAAATGTCAATTTGCTAGATCTGCTCCTATTTTATAATATTTGAGTATTAAAATTAAGTCACTAATTGAGACACATTTGACAGCTGATTAGTTAATTTCTACGATGATCCGTGTTTCTGAAACTGGGCGTAAGAATAAAAAAAAGTGAAAGTTTTTAACAAAAAAGGATCGATTTCAAAAACTCTATTAGGGCTATAGTATAGTACAGTACAGTAGTATAGTATAGTACCAGTCTACGTGTCCCATCGGTGGGTAAAGGCCTCCTCTGGACTACTCTCCGTATTAGGGCATTGTAATTTACTAAACCGGTCGATTCACACTGTACCTCTTGCTAATACTTGTACATAAATAAAT